GCAGCAAGTATATCCCAATCCCACTTCATTAAGATAAAGTTTTAGAAACTGAATTGGTTTTGAGTCTGAAGATGCTGGTTCTTCTCTCCCAGCATATCTGCATCATGTTACTCCAATGAAAAAAAGCACAGGGAAAAGTCAAACAGTTTGCAAAAGAACACAGACATTTGAATTTAATAAATTATAAAATTAAAGATTCTAATTTGTATATACATTTTTAATATACAAGAAATGGCTATTTATTGCAGTTTCTGTTAAGGCATATGTAAGTGAATGGAAGTTGCATATAGATATTCAGATGAACATAGCTAATACTGTGCATTGTAGGTGAGTAAATAAGACATTAAATGCATTACATAATAAAATAAAACATAAAACCCTTTGAGTACTGGTAAAGCACCGTTTCTAGAATTCTCAAAATATCTGAAAGCACTCTATGGTGATGTTGTGAGACTCTAAATATTGAATGGATATATGAATATAAAAAGTGATGCATTCATAATAGATTACAGAAATCTTAAAGGAAAGTTGGTGAAAAAAAATGGCAGTAGATTGGAGCCAAAGGAACCAGAATTGTTTTGGGATTTTTTTTTTTTTTTCATGAGGGGCTGTCATTTGGATTTTAAGCTTAGAACAACAGAAAAATGACAATTTAGAAAGCTGTGTACTTGCATGGTTGGATGACAAAAATGCATTGCTTCATGGGAGTACATTGCTTTAGCTCTCAGATCTCTGAGATGGTCTCTGCAGGAATGTATTTACTTATAAATCTGCTTTAGTTTCTGGGGATTAGGTTACATTAAAATACCACTCTCTGCTTGTTACGTCTCAAAATGCAGCACCTGGGCAACAGCAAACCGGTTACAGAAGACACACGACGGTGATGCTCTTGCCCAATTACAGCATTGTAGAAAAGAGGGAACAGTTGTCAAAGTTCAACCAACCAAAAAAATGACCAAAATTTCCACTGCCTGACATGGAATGAAGGTCAGCTGAGAGCAAAACTCCACCTCTTGCCTTGGGATGCTTCTTGTTTATCAATAGAGCTCTGTGCTGTGTTTTCCAGTAGAAGTGAGGTACATGTTCTGAAGAAACGTCCATCATGGGGAACTACTGAAAAAACACCTTCTGAGAAACTCATGCCAGCTTGAAAAGAAGGCATCTTCCCTGGTCTGAAGAGACTTTTTTTTCCCCCCCTCATACAGCAAGACTGTAAAGAGAAGGCAGCTGGTGGCTCTGCTCCATAAGAAGATGGACCTGTCTGTGTCCACCAGCGTCTCACTGTCTCAAGCAATCTAGACTGAAGATGCTCCTTCAAATATCATCTCAGAGTTCCCCAAATAACAGTTAGAGAAATATTCCATAGAACTAAAACCAGCGAGGAATAAATGAAATTAAATCTCCCAAAAGGTGAAACTGAGAAGGGAGCAAGCCCTTTCTAAATGCAGAAGCCACTGGGCATTGCATCGGGTCCCTAACGAACACCAGACCCGGCGTAGCACCACACCAGCCTTCTGGGAGGCTGCTCCTGCACTGAGATGCAGCAGAAGTTTCCACCTGATCTTCAAAAATCTTTTTGGTTTGTTTGTCTGTGAATTGACACACTCTGGAGGAAAAATAAAGTGGTCAAGTTTCTGAACTTTGAACCAGCTTTGCAAGTTCAGCCGGGTGTCCGTGCCGTGCAGGAGCAAGTGAACCCCTAAAATCTGGCTCTGCCCAGCCTGCGGTGGTCCTGGAACCTGGGAGACACGGCTGGAAATACTCAGTGGAGTGAACCCCTGAAATCTGGCTCTGCCCAGCCTACGGTGGTCCTGGCCCCTGGGAGACACGGCTGGAAATACTCAGTGCAGAACCACCCAGGCCTTTGTAAACGTTGGGTCACCACACTGGAACAGACCTTCTCACGTGCTGTTTGCAGAAAGGTCACCTGAAGTTCCGCCAAATAAATTCCTGCCCCACTTGCTATTGGGACATGTCTTAGATGTCCTTTGGACAGAAGAGATGGTGGAGTTTTGACCCTGGCTAGAAGCAGAACACCAAAAAACTGCTGAAACCAGGACAAGAGGCTCTTTGTATGACATCTGAGCTGTGGGCACTTCCTCCTGGGACATTTCTTCACGTTGCCTGGTTGACTAAGTCTATTCCAGAAGCTAAGGAAGAACAGAAACTATCAGATGGCTTATCTCAGGCTTCTGGAGGTCAGAGAAATGGGTCTCCACAAAGTCCCAGAGAGTAAGACCAGTACCATTGAGGCAGAAAACTTCTACCTCCTCACCTGCATAACTTCAAAACTTCAAGCCCCAAACCCTCTCTACCCTTGGCTTTGTGAGGGTTTTTCCAAAGTTTATCATATGCTTGGATGTGCTTCCAGGCTATGAAAAAAGCTGTGGGTTGTGGTTTATTTTTACTGTCCACAGAGCTAAAAGCAGGATAACAACGTGAAGGGGAAAAGATGAGTTTTACACTAACCACATCTGTGTAAAGGAAATATGGAAGGCAAGAAATACTGTGTCTACAGACTGGAAGCCCAGCTACAGCTTGTGCCTCCCATGGCACGCAGCTGGAATGATGTTGATTTAGACACATCTTCCTTGCTTATAAATAGCACGGTGGGTTTTTTCCCTTCAGTGCTCGTAACTACATTACTCTGTTTGGCACAGATGGGACCTGACCCTACGCTGTTACTAAAACTTGTCCTGGCTGTGGGCAACCACAAATCCCCTGGCACAAGGCTCCTGGGGCCGGTGCCGGGCTTGCCCACGCATCATGGCTCTGAAACAGCAGGCTGGGCTGGGGGGAGCAAAGGCGACCCTGTGGACAACTAAATGTCAGCCACCTTCGGCTGCAGGACAATGGGCGTCTGACTGCAGGACAACTCGTGTCTCACGAGTTAAAGCCCAAGGTGAGGCTCCTGCCCCTGCCCAGCCAATGCTGTGCAGCACTGCCAGACTGCAGAGCTTCAGTTTTGCTTTTCAAAGCCAGAACAGATTGCTTTGTTGCTTGCACTGGCTCCTGCTTTCACATCTGCAGCCACATCTGCTTTGCCCAGGAGATGTTTCCCAGTGCTCTGGACTCTCACCAGGTCCATGATGCTTCTCACTCTTCACGGTCTTCAGTGTAACTCCAGCTCTGTACCCTCTGAGCTGCTCCTAAACACTCACCCACGTGGATCACCCAGTCCTCTGTAAGAAGGGACGCTTGATGCCATCCCACCAGCTGAAGATATTCCTTCTCTGCTTTGACTGGTATCTCCATAAAGTATTTTTCTTAAACCAGGTCTTGTCCTTCAAAGAGTCAGTTCAGGCCAGAACAGTTGCACATCCCAGTGCTGCACAGACCACTGCTCCTGCTGGCTCCTGCCTCCCTTCCCGCACGACCGGCTTGTTCTGAAGGAGACCAGGCAGAAGGCAGGGTCGCACCTTGCAACACTTCTGAAGCTCTTTGCCAACAGCCAGGCCACAGAGCTTACACATTGCTGGAAACTCAGCACATTTCCAGTAACCATGTGGCTGTACATACAGGTTTGTTACTGGTGCTGCTTCCAACTCAGACCAGCTCAGGCTGGAGGATGAGATCTTCCTCTCAGACTGGAAAATCTGAACTAGGAGCCATCAGACCTACCCAGTGGTAAACGGAGGATTTCAGGGAAGCCCTGGGCTCTGCAGGAGGTTTACCAGCAAAGAGGAAACAAATGGAAGAGTCCAAGCCAGGAGACAGGAGAACTGCTCAGATGCCACAGCAGGAACCAGTCCACGCTCCCCATCGCTGCCGTGTTAGAGCCAAGATGAATTCATCTGCTGATCTCCAACCAGGAATTCAAAATGACCTATGAAACCCATGATGACCCTGAGGGGAAAGGAAGTACTCAAAGGGTTGTCAGGTTACACATCTTCGAGTTTCTAGCAGACCTCGTACTGTGAGTGAGTACACATGTGTGTACGTACGTGTATAGGTAAGGGCACAGCAAACAGTTGTTCACTTCTGCACCAATAAAGCTGTCCTAAGGAGAGGAAGATAATACAAAGTTATTTCCTCCAAAATAACTTCATCCAATGGGAGAAAAAAAAACACGTTTTCTTAACAAAGCACCAAAGAATAGGCACCAAGAATCCAGTCATCTTTAAGTTAAACAGTATGTGGGTAGAAAAATAATCAGACCAAAAAAAAAGCACCAACCAACAAAGATCACTGAGGCTGTTGCATTACAGGAACTTAAAGACTATAAAAATATGGATAATTGTAAACAGAAAGACTAGGATGTTGTCAGTCCAAGCTGGCCGGATCTACCCTACTAGATGTCTTGCATGTATTCAAAAATTTCAGAGAATCCTTTGAAATTGTTTATGGACATATGTAAACTACGTTTTGCCAGTTTTTAATTTACACATAAATATATGGCTACAGAATTGTCTATATAATTCCTTATGCAGTCCCAGTTAAGAAAGCTATGTAAGCACATGCCTAGCTGTAACCCCAGGAGGAGCTCTGCCCAAGTCAGCTCAACTCGGTCTGGCATGTCCTTAAACACCTTCCTGAACCAGGGGCTGCATTAGTGCCCGGGTTTGTGCAATGCCAAGAAGCATCACAGGATTGCTGAGCACCTGCTTGTCAGTGTGAAAGGGGTTTCTGATGCCTTGGGACTGTGTTCCTCCATCCTAAGTGTAACTCCCATTACTATTCCCAAGCACTTTTACACAAGCATAGAAGACTTAACCTGCTAACCTGGCCTAGGTGTTACGGTTTGTTGGGATTCAGTGAAACGCTGGAATGATATTGCACTAATTCTCTACCGTACCCTGTAAACCCAGCCGTCAAAGTGTTCAGATTAGCACTCATGAAACAATCTGTCATTTCCATTTATAGTAGGCTTTAGAATTTGGCATCTCTGCCGTAGCACCACTTTGATTTTTCCCCATTTTTAGTCTCGACGACATGGGCAATGCTATGATGTTGCTAACATCTCTATAAGAGAAAAATGTTGTTTGTGCCATATTCCCATTTTAGTTTATTTTCCTAAGAGTCTCTTTTTTCCTTTTCTCGGCAATCAGCTCCTGAATTCTTTGATTCCTTGTCCTTTCATAAGGTATCCTCCTCCGTGTAATGATGTTGTGCTGTGATACTTCGTTATCCAACCCATCGATTTTATAGGGAACATCCACCGCATTGATTTCTGGGTGCTCCTCGGTTGCGTTGGAAGGAGGTGCACGTGTTTTGGAAACCAGAGGAGGGCTGGTGGCAGACTGGGTGGTGGACACTCCCACGGGAGGGCTGAGGGTTGTCAGGAGCTCCTCGTCAATGACGTTATTCTTATTTACGTTAGAATCAGTTACGTTGTTGTCCTCGGTTATGTTGCTGTACATATTACAGGACTTGCAGCACAGCTTATTGTAACCAGGGATTGAGCAGTAACGAGAGAGAACCTCCATGCGACAAAACATTGACTTGTCTCCTTGACAATGATCTTCTGAAAGAGAAAAAGGGAACAGATAAATAAAGAGCATCTTCACGTTAATCAGAAAAAGAAACACAGCTGAAGCTTTGGTGGTGGGTGGAGGGTTTGGTGGTTAAAGTAGGATGGGAAGCTGAGAAATAAGCCTTCTATAAGCGGAAGCAGGCTTAATGATAAACCTAAAACTCAACTCATTTCAAGGGATGCAAAAGCTGACCTGAACTCTTTGTACCAGCCCATCCATGCTACAGACCATAACACCAATTTTCGGCTCCACATTCTGCAAGTGCTACCCTGAAGATCATGCAGCCTCAATGATGTAGCTTAGAGTTCAAACCACACCGATATTGCTGTGTTGGTGCTAATGTTAAACCCCCAGAAGGTCATCAAGGGTTATATGGAGAAATCTTTTTTTCCCCTCTCTTCATTCCTTTTAATGTTTTGCTGCAATCTAAGAGTGACTAACCACATCAGGGGTAATTTATATTTATCTGGACTGTTTCAAGAAATTCAAGTCTTATTCTGTGCATACTGTGTAACTCTCAGAATGAATCCGTCTCCCATTGGGTTGACTTTTTTTGCCGGTTACCTCTATTCTGAAACCAGCAGCATTGCCACAGTGGGTCCCTTGCACAAGAGAAAACTGGTGCATTTAGCATAAGGCTTTCCTCCTCCTCCTAGAAGGGAGCTGGTATTTTCAGAACAAACTCCAGTGCGATGGAGCTAAACTGGTCCATTAATGACTGGAAGGCTCAGTAACAAGTCCTGATTTTTGTGTCCCTGACTGCAAGACTGTAATAAAAAAGACAGAATGCTAATGGATGGGTTTTAGGCTGTCGGGAGCTGTTATGACAATCTGCACTATAACACAGGTGTTACAGCAGATCCTGATCTTGCTGAAATACCAGTGGCAAAACGTAGGCTGAGGTCCTAAAGGGAGCTGATCAACCTGGTTTACTGAGAAACATTAACAGACTTCTACTCAGAAATTACTCAAGCCCTTGTGATTCTGCTCAGAGGAGGCAGAGGACTGTATGAACTGGCAGTGGATGGACGGTGGAGGGCTCCTTGGAGAGAAAGCTACCTGTCCTGAGTCCTGCACACACACTCCACAGCTCCTGTGCGTCCAGGCGGAAGCGATGGAGCCGGGAACTACTGGAAACTGCAGTGAAGGAGAAATCCCAACACACAGCCCATGCTGAAAAAAGAGGAGCCGGAGGGCTTGTAGGAGGGGAGAGGGTTGAGGAGAAAGGCAGACTGACCAACACTTGGCATAATCAGTAACTAAATGTTTCCTCTGTGACCAGAGTGCTGAGACAGGGATGAAATCACTGCTGCCTCTCTCCTTGCTCTTACTACATCTCCACCTACGCTTACAGTAAAGGATGAGTAACTCCAGTTACTCGCCTTTATTTAGATGGCAGACGGCATGCTCAAGTCAGCGTGTTACTGGAGCTACGAACACTGACTTACCCTGTCAGCAACCTTACAGCAAAGGAGAGAGCCAGAGCAGATTCAGAGATACCAACTGAACCCAAAGTGTGGGTGTCGCCTCCTGACTCATCCTCAGTTAACAAAACAGGGCATCAGAGGTGTTTAATTGGCAAACATAGCAGTCTAAAATAAACTAATAACGGTTGCTGCTGCTTTAAGATGCTCGTGCTGGCTGAGGAAGGTGGAAACACCTGCCTTGCATTGGATTTATGCCCCAATTTGTTGCAGAACAGCAAAATTCTGGTTCCTGTTTTCAAACGTGTCAATTCATTTTCATATTTTACAAGTGCTAAACTGAGATGCTGCAGGAAATAAAGAACAACTCCCTCCTTAAGAACCTTAGAATAGTATCTTGCTTTTGGAGATATTTTCAAAGCAGTCTTTAAGAGCTGGAAGGGTTTGTATCTGCATGCACAACTCTACACAAAGGACTGCATGTGCCTGTACAGCTCTTTATATTTTTTTACATACCAGGCAGAGTCCCCTTTGAACATTTTGCCTTGTGTTGCATGACCTTAACACTAGCTTCTTGAAATGGCTTGCAAAATAAAAGCCAACAGGTATAACATTTAAATGCAGTTTCAACAAGGCAGATCTGTTCTTGGCTTTGTAAGAATAACTAAAAGCACCTTTAGAAAAATGCCTTTTTTCCTATCGAAAAATATCTAATGTCAAGCTTAAAAATACATGAAAATAAAACTGCATTATGTAATATGGTTAGTGACATCTGATGAGTTATAAAAATAAACTCTGGAACTTATGAATGTCAGAATGAAATTTATATCCTCTATCCAAACCAAAATATCCAGATTTGCTGAACTTTTATTTATTTTTACTTGCAGTATGCATGACAGACTGGAAGTATATCTTCAAAACATCAGTAAGAAAAAAATAAATCAGTTTCACAGTCACTTTGGTACACATTAGTCTCATAAAAAAATATTGAAAAGCAAACTGAATTGGCACATCTTTAATATTATGTTAAATACATACAAAACACTAATAAAATATCCCTGATAAACCAAAGTGCATATAGACATAGTGCACAATGCCCAGATACCTTATTGCACCATTCTCTATAGCCACCCATCTCTTGAAACATCACTAAACATTGTCTATTTAAAGGTAACAGTCATGAATATATTAATACAGTTAAACACCAATTATTTTACATAACAGTATTCAGTGCCAGATATGTGTCTTTGTTTTTTCACCTTGTCATGTCATTGTTAACATGTTTCAGGAAATTATCATATTAACAGCAAAATTTAAATATGTGATCACATGATAATGACAAGTTTGAAGTGCTACACTGTTGAAGACCCAAAGATTCAAAAATGCCACTTTTCCAAAGAATATGATCAATGCAATAAGGTAGTAATTTGCTCCAAGACTGCGGTTTTAAAGTCGATACACTTCTACTATTGGTACTGACTGTCACAAACAGGTTTATGACTCGTGAATTCCAAATCTTCAACACAAACACGGAAGGTGAAGCAAGAATGCCAGTTAAATTTCAGTAAGTCAAGTCACAATCCTGCCTTGATGAAGATGTGGATATGCACTGTGCAAATTAACCTCAAATTAAATTTACTGCCTCCCCATAGTTATCCTGCAAGTGACAACACTCCATATGAAGATCAACTCAAGGTACCAGTGTACTGTTTATATTTAAAGCTGGATCTGGTAAATTAATGCCATTTACATTTCAACATTAAGGCATTTTTCTAAAATTCTTCTTCTAAGCAAAAAAAAAAAAAGCAATAAAAATTGAGGTAATTCTGTCGTAGTTCACACCGTTATGTTTGCCAGTTGACACATCTATAGAGCATACACGCACACGCACACACACAACCGCACCAGTCAAGTCAGACATGCACATGGTGAAAAAAGACCAAAGATGGAATGAGTATAAACAGCTCCGTGCCGAGCAGCTGGAGACATCGTAGTCAATGAAAACATCCTATTGCCTCCGCCAGGTTAAGAAAAATGCCACCACCCAACCGGCAACATGGACCGTGCCTGTTCTGCTTCGGTTTTGATTCTCAAGTGAAAGTATGCAAAACTGGCAAAAATTGTGCGCGGGAAAAATGGATGCAGCTTTTCTCAAGAAAAATATTTCAAACCACCACCAGGAGTTTGGCGAGAGAGGACAGCATCACAGCAGCAGGGAAAATCCCAACAGAAACCAAGCTGCCGCTTCCCAGGGAGCCCTCCAGGGGTTACAAACATAAATGTGAGGGTCAGGAATAAAAAAAGAGCAGCGAGGGTGAGTAAAGCAATGGCACCGCAAAGGAAAATGGAATGAGTAAATTCTTTCACTCATCAGACTACCCTGTCAGCGAACTGAAACTAGAGAGTTGTGAGATTCAGGGGTTTTAGATAAAGGAGAACTTTAGCACTACAAGGTGTCATTATTGTGATGTGATCACATTCACAATAAGTTCTCAGTTTTGCTATCAAACCGAACATCATGAACCAGTAAGAGCCTTTTTTCACCATCACCAAGCAACAAGCAAACCGATCCCAGCTCCCTTTCAGAGGACCGCAACGTACCGTGGAGATCCACCTTCACACACCCACCACTTCAGACCTCCACCACCAGCGCTACACAAGCTCCAGAGAAGAAAGACACCCAGCACCAAGTGCCTGGTGTGAAAAAAAGATTCAGCCCAAGATTCAAACTTGGCAAAGTCAAGGGAACTTTCCGCATAAAGAGAAGAAGAGAGCAAAAGGCAAAGTCCACATTCGATGTGGCATGCATTTAAGGGCAAAGGCAGAGTTATAAACGGGTCTTTTACTTGAAGAGATTTTCTGGATGGGGTAGTCTGGATCAGGTCTTGACAGCCATTGTATCATGTAGGTTTTCTTTGAAGGATCAGAAACGTTTCCTTGAATAGAAGGAAAAAAAAAAAGATGTAACACACTATATGTTAGCATTAAGTAGTCAACCTCTCAGAAGTGGATACACTGCGAGAGTGAGTGGGCTCCGATGGTGAAGGAGCCCAGGGAAGGATTACGACCAGGCTGTGTAGTTTGGGGTAGAAGGTGCTGGTTTGACAGTTTGCTACAACTTGTGCCCAGCGCTTGACAGCCACCACTGAAGCCAGCCTGAAGGGCAGTTCTCCAGCAGCACTTCTCCTAGCAGTGTTAAGTATGTCCTAAGATACATCCAGCCTCGTTTAGTTGTGCTGCCTCTTTAAATTGTTGTATTGGAGACCATAATCGACAGCTTGGTTCTAATTAATTAGGAATCAAAAGCTGCCAGGAGAAATACATCAGGAATAAAAGAAAACCAGGAATTAATAATGGGAATATGTAACATGATCTCACAAGTACCATTTGCAAACAGCTGAAAAGCTAACAAGGATAAAGGCATTACTGTCCTGGATTAAGTAGGAACAAATTTATTATAGTTTAAAAAAATGGAGTTAGATAACCCTTGAAGATAACTTGTGCTTGACAGAATGGAAAAGAAACCTGGAACTGGAGATGGGGAAAGCAAAGAGGCATCTTTGGACATGATGCCCTTGATTAGCCACCACGCAGCAGCCTCTTGCCAAGCCCAGCAGGTCTCAGGCGCTCAGGGCCGGGCTCAGGCAGTGCTTCCCAGTCATCTGCTGGCCAGACCCAGCCATCACCCAGTGCTCCTCACCATGAGGAGAGAATAACCATGTGCCCAAGAATCTCATCGGCCACACAATAGCTCTGCATTCGGAAAGTCTGCTCAAAACAGAGAACCACCACCCCAGGCAGACGTAGCACACAGGTATAAATTCGATGAAGGTATTTCAAATAATTACAATCAACATAATTTTTTTTTTCAGCAAGTAATACATGCTAGAGAAGACGAGCACTTACTTGGACATGGAGGTAGTCTGCAAACCCTTACGGTCTCTGGTTTATTCTCTTTACAAAAGCCGACAACGTTGTCCCTGGTCCGGCACAGGACCGGGCGATCCTGCGTGCCGTTGCCACAGCTGACAGAGCACTGCAAGGAGTTGCACCGGTTAGACCCCCAGCCACCCTTTGGAAACCATGCAGTAGAAATTAGTTATTAAATTCTAAACCTTGATTTGAGCCAACATGGTACATTGTTTGAACCAATGCAGTACCTACAGTAACTAAGCAAAAGGGAGAACCACTGCTTTTTGTGGTACACCAGTAATTGTGAAACACTCCAAGAAAGAGCTTATGGTCCCAGCAATAAAGAAACAACTGTAGATGTGAGGCATCTACTCATAGCATGCACCAGGGATGGCATTGCCTGTATCACCTATTCAACCCAGTGAGGATAAAAATTGTTAGTGCTTATTTGCATGGCACAGTTCAAAAATAAACTGTTGTATCTCCAAATGCAGCCACATTTTTAAAACAATTTAATGGAGAAATGCTGAGAAGAACTGCCAGGATGCCGTGTACCAAAATTATAAGAATAACTTAATGTTGCAATATTCTACTCACATTTCTTGCCTTTTGATGACTGCAAAGGTTTGTGAATATGAAGAGGTGGAGCTACTTATTGCTATAGTAAATACTTGAGCAAGAAATAGTCTGCACCCAGTGGCACTGCGTTTCTTCCTCACACAGTGAGCCAAAGAGCCAGGGGTGGAAAGCACAAAATGCCCCCAGCTCCTGACACCTGTTATGGCAGGGACTGAATCCTGTTCTGCCCATAGGAATGGCAAACAAAAACGGTTCATAAATATGTGCCTTGTGGTTCCATAGTAAACTAGGTGAAAACTCCGTAATTTGGGTTAGAGACAGACCCTTACGGGGCTGAGCAGCTGCATCTGCTGAAAGCCTTTACACTGAAGATGCTCAAACCTTTGAACCTCCACAAGTGTTGCTGCCCAGCTTCCTCAGGCGCCCTTAATCACAGTGTCTGAAGACTTTAAAGTCTTTTTTTACTTGAAGGAAAAGAAAACAATGATAAAATAATTTATTGCCCTTCTCTCAGCTTAAGTCAACAGGTAAATGACTGTGAGCAGAACAAAGAGCAGGTAGAAGTCAGTTTTCCTGATGCTGATCTCTTATACGGGTGCCTCAGGGGTCTGGATCACCAGCATCGCGGCAGGATGGCTTCACTGGCTGTTTCTCTACCACCACCTCTCCATCCAACCCACCTTCTGTGGCACTAGGAGCAGAGGAAGCAATACACCCTTGGTGTTGGTTTATTGTGTCAGTGCATTTGAGCTGAAAGCACGGAACAAACGCCAAGATTTTCTCCCCTGCGTTGTAAGAAGTTAGTTGCTTGAGAGCTCCAGGAGGAGACTGACCTGTGACCAGGGTCCGATTCTCCACTGCGCTGGGCAAAGCTCCCGGTTGCAAGGCCTCCTGCCTTCGGGACGGTCGTTGTTGCAGTACTTGGTGTGAACAGACCGATTTGTATTGTCGTGTAGAATGGATACATCGGACAGATCGTACTTGATAGCCTGTCTTCCCACAGCTTTTGCTGCAAGGCTCCCATTCTCCTGTGACCCATCTGGGTTAGTGAAAAGAGAATAAGTCAAGTAAAATTCTCTCTCTCTTAGACTAGGTGAGTTCAAACTGTTGAACTATAACTCTTAAACACACAGACTTAACAGGATGTTAATACTAGTTCTGATATGGAAAAAGAAGAGATGAAAACCTGTAAGCAGTCATGACAAGGGTTATTTGACAATGTTCCTGAAAAATCAGTAATAAGACCCAGATCTTTAAAAATTACCCTTTCTCATTATCTCTGAGATAAGCATTAATCTTACTTTGCTTCATTGGTTTTGATTTGAAGCTGTCCCTTCCAAGACTGCACATAAAAATCTGGCAGCATTTATGTCAAAAGCAGCCACCCAAGGGATGCTGCTGAGCTTCCCCAGTCTCGGCACATGAGCTGTGCCTTGTCTCACAATGCAGGGAGACCTGAGCATGCACCAGCCGTCCCCACAGCTGCTTCCCACAGGATTGAATCCAAACCATCTGGGCTGGAAATGCAGCTCCAGCCTGGCCCAGATCTGGGTACTCCATGGACCACATCCTGAAGACCAGAAGGTCTGAGTTCATAATATTTTAATTAATTTGGCCACTGAAAAACATCACCTACAGTTGTAATGTGGTGTTGTTGAAAACTTTGCTGATCATCTCAACTGGCTAAAGAATTACAGCTACAAATTGTAAGGAACTTACAGAAGAGCAACAAGGACAGACAGGACCAGAGGAAATTTATGTAGACTACTAAAAACTTGGTTATAATCAAGTAAGTGAAGATATACAGCAGTCCATAAATATTTACAGAATGCAGAGATCTGCAAGAAGGAAATATTGCTCAATGTAAACAGTATTCATGGGATAAACTTAACCACTGAGTTAAACAAAAAGTAAAGTGAAAATTTCACCCAACTTTCTCTTTGTAGTCTATTGAAATTATACAGCTGTGGAGGACGGCAAGCGCTGCAGAGCACAAAGCCACAAATCCTAAGGTGATTTCTGAGACAAAGATGATTTTTTTCCCAGCAGTGAAGAAGCAGCAAATTAGTGTAGGGGGTGTTGCAGAGCTTCATAGAATCTCTTAAATAATTGCCTCTCCTATGTACAACTGCAAAATGCTCCTATGCCATTCTATGGAAACAGAGGTGACCGAAACATTCAGGAATCCAAGTACAATTTAGGATCCCTACTGAGTCTTTGTGATACCTGGGTCCAATTATATTTGCAGCTGAAAGAAGAATACAGTCCTTTCCAGAGAGCCTGAGATATGGTTAGATCATTACTTCAGTTTTCCAATAAATAAATGTTAAACCCTGACCCATGCTGAGTTTATGGGGCACAGATTCTTCACTTTTCTCTCTTTCACATCTTTTTTGAAAGGAAGTTAGGAAATATTGTCTGGTATGTTCTACTTATTTGCTGTGCTTCTTGGTTCCCAGAGATAAAGCTGGGATCAACATTCTCCTTTCTTGTTGCAGTAGCAACACAAGGAATATGAGAGTCCTGCATGTGGCAGGAGTAACCTGCTGCCAGTCAAAAAAGCACCTGTAAAATGCAAATTAAAATATTCATAACACTTTACTATGTATAGCAAAGATGAAGGTACAACAGGCCTACCACGCTGTGCAAGGGCAGCCAGAGAAATCTAATAGGCCACATATTTCTTCCTGTGTTTAAATCTCCAAGAACATGCTGTGAACTTGAGGAAGATTTGGATTTGAGAGGCTGTATGACATTGATTTTCTTATGTAGCACTCTGTAAATTTGTTCTTACATGGTTAATTCACACTGTGTAAAATCAACTGGTATAAACTGAATTTATGTCTATTTTTTATTACCTCAAGATGGCCTGAACACAAATGTCTGGATCAAGACAGCACTTCTTTTCTAATCCAACTTATTTCAGAAGTAATAGGAACCAGCAGTCCCAGAAATGGTACTTCTACAAGCAGAATATAGCATCACATCCTCACAGTCCTGGGTCTCTGCAATGATGCATGGAGGCCAAGCTTAAGTCACCTTCTTCCAGCTGACAAGTGCTAGCTGGGGACAACGCCTACAGCGGCTGCCGCCGAGCAGAGCTGCTGGGCAGCGATGCTTACATGGGCTGGGAGCACTCCTGGAGGTTGCACACCCTGCGAATAGGCTTCGGCTTTTGGATCAACTCGCAGTAACTCCGATGAACCATCTTGTGGTCTGTCTTCCTCCGGCAGCCGTATTTTGTGAATTGGTAGCCTGAAGAAAGACACTCCTTTTATTTTCAGCACTGGTAGGTCTTACACAGGACTCGGGTGTCAAACTGCACGTACACTGCAGCTGGAACTACAGGTGAACACACTATAAAAGGAGCTGTAAATTGCACTGAATAAACACTTATTCATGTAGACGTAGCACCCAGAATTGCTCATCCCCTTTATTTTTCACTACAGGCTATAATGAGAAAAACACCACCTAGCATTTCAAAAACGTTCTGCAAACCTGCCCAGCCACATCCTGGCACTGTAACCTGACCATCGGTCTGGCGAACAGCATCGGGGTATATATACACCTGGCCCCAAAAGCAGGGGTCTTCACACCGCAAGGTCCCCGTCACAGGATGCAGATGCACCAAGGGCTGCCCCGGGGCACCTTGAGGTTTGGCACTGGCGTGTCTCAGAGACCCTCATCCAAATCTTGCACATTTGTACTATCAATTTTCTAAACCTAGATCAGAACTAAGTCACTCCAGATCTGCCCCCAAAACCATTTTAGTCAGATTTTTAACTCCATTCACTATTTATTTATCTATTTCTTAAATAAAACCCTCCCATTCTCCTGCTCTCCCTAATGTCTTGCGGTAATGACCTCCACACATGGTGTTCATTCTTTCCATTTTCTCTTAGTTTAGAATGTTTTGGGGTTTTGTTTTTACCTCCTCCACAAGGTTTTGAACACTGGGACCATTTCTTCAAAGCCCATTCATACGACACCGAGTCCTCTTCCAAAACATTATTGTTATCTACATTCAAGGAATCTTCATGGATCATGTACTTGTAAGTCAAAGATATCTTGGCACCACCGTGAGGAATCACCTAGTAAGCAAAACACATGTAGG